AAGCACATGCAGCACGGGCAGCATGGAGATGGTTATGGAGTTGTTAGTATTATAAGTCCTCTCAGTTTTTTATCTCTTGTTCTGTCAGCTTTCTATCTCCACATCATGTGTGGTCTTCGACAAAGACAAGCACGGGCAGCATGGAGATGGTTATAGAGCTATTAGTATTATAAGTCCTCTCAGTTTTTTATCTTTGCGTGGTCCCAAGAGTTTTGTATAGGGATGGTTGGTTGTAACCGGTTCTTTACTACTCATATATATGAGTTAGTTGTTAACTCTTAAAACATACGAAATACATATATTTTTGAACATAAAATCTACATGGTATCAGAGCGGGTCCTTCTTTAACCTGTCTCTAGCCATTTCTTTCCGCTGCTTCTCTCTTTCAACCTTGAGCCATGGCTGAAGAAGATTCAGTAAATGTTGAGGATAAAACCTCCCGTAATTCTTGTTCAAATTTTTCAGACACTGAGGTTAACACCAAGCGTTTGTGTTCAGCCTTGCTGAATGAGTTCAACTACCTACCTTGGTCTCGTGCAGTTTCACTTGCTCTAGGAGGAAAAGGAAAAATTGGTTTTGTAAATGGAAGCATCGAAGCTCCTGATATCACCTCACCAACCTATGAGGCTTGGCTCTGCAAAGATCAATTCGTCATGTCCTTACTTCTCAATACTATGGAGAAGCATGTTGCAGAAATTTTTAGCTACTCAGAGTCCTCACAAGATTTGTGGAACTCGGTGAAGGACATGTATGGAAATCAAAACAATTATGCAAGGGTGTTCCAACTGAAGAAAGACATTGCATGCATTCAACAAAATGGGAAGTCCTTTGTACAACACCTTGGTAGGCTCAAAACCATGTGGAATGAACTGGATATGTATCTTCCACACACCACAGATGCAAATACGCTACTAAAGAGAGGGGAGGAAGATAAGATATACCAACTCTTGGGAAGCTTAAGTTCTGAGTACGAGGATCTCAGAAGCCATATACTTATGAGTCAAGAACTGCCAACATTCAAAAGTGTGTGTGGTATTGTCCAACGTGAAGAAGCTAGGAAGAAAGCCATGAATGGTGAGTCTAGCTCAAGGCCAACTGAAGCTCTAGCCTATGTTGCAAACCACAAAATATACAAAGGTAAGAATTCCCATCTCAAGTGTACCTACTGTAATGGTGTTGGTCACGTGGAAGAAAAGTGTTGGATCCTTCATCCCGAGTTAAAGCCCAAATTTACCAAAGATGGGAAGATGATTCCATCAAAACCTTCACAAACAAGCCATTTCAAGAGTCATCATGCAGCAAACGTCACCTCTGGGGTCTCTTTTGGATCCATGGACTTCACTACAAGTCCTGTGACTCTTATAAAAGAATTTGTTGCGTACTTGCAAACCAAGGATCATGGGAGTACTGCATCAAACTTACAAAAGGAGGATGGAGGACACGCTGCCATGCTGGGGCAGTTTGCAGGATTCTTGCCAATAACAAATCTGCAGAACAAGGAGAGGTTTCAGGTATTCTCAATGCTTTCTCCACTGCATTACAAACAAGCACTGAATATGATTGTTGGATAATTGACTCAGGTGCCACTGATCACATGACAAACAAACTTTCAAATCTGCATAATTTTCAAGCATTCAAAAACCCCTCACTAGTGTCAGTTGCAAATGGAAAAAATGTGTCAGTTTTGGGTAAGAGAATAGCTAGTATACTCACAAACAATAATGAGTCATTAGCCCTATATGTTCCCTCATTTCCTTTTCAATTACTTTCAGTAGGAAAGATAACAAGCTCCCTAAACTGCCATGCCATTTTCTCACCAAACAACGTTGTTTTTCAGGATGTCATCACCAAGAAAGTGATTGGTGAAGGGTTCTTCCTTAATGGTCTCTACTACCTGTGCAAAAACTCAGTCATGCCTAAAGCTTTTCAAGCTGGAACCAAGTATTTTGAACATCAACAACTTTGGCACCAAAGACTTGCTCACCCATCTGAACTTGTTTTGTCAAAATTGTTTTCCCGGTTTTTTGTCAATCACCCCTTGAGTGTGAAACATGTCATTTTTCAAAGTCAGTCAGACTACCTTTTGTCACTTCTGTTTTTAAGACATGTAAACCATTCGAGTTAGTACACACGGATGTTTGGGGACCTACAATTGAATCAATGGATGGTTACAAATATTTTGTCATATTTGTTGATGATTTCACTCGTACTACCTTTCTATACCTTATGAAATCAAAAAGTGAGGTTTTCTGCATATTTAAAGATTTCCATAAACTTGTACAAACTCAATACAACTCAAACATTAAGGTGCTTAGGTCAGATAATGGCACTGAGTTTCTGTCCAATAACATGATTCAATACTTGAGTTCACAATGGATTGTTCACCAAACCAGTTGTGTAGGGACACCCCAACAAAATGGGGTCTCAGAAAGGAATAATAGAGATCTGCTTGAAAAAACTCGATCTCTAATGCTGCATATGAATGTTCCCAAAAGATATTGGTCACATGCTGTTCTCACTGCTACCTATATAATTAATAGACTTCCAAGTAAAGTATTGGGGTTCAAAACTCCACATGAAACTCTAAACAATAGGGTAGTCAACTTGGCGCATCTTAAAACGTTTGGTTGCAGCTGCTTTGTCCATGTGCAAGCACCTAATCGTGATAAATTGGAAGCTAGAGCAGTGAAGTGCATTTTTGTTGGGTACTCACCAACTCAGAAGGGATACAAATGTGTTGATCCTATCACAAAGAAATGTATTGTGTCAAGGGATGTTCGTTTTGATGAAACAATGCCCTACTATAAAAGCAATGAGACTCATATTAATGAGAATGAGACCTTGAGTGATTTGCTTCCCTTACCAAGAGTCACTGACCATGATACACTAGCAGAGGATCATATCTCAAATGGTCAAATCATTGAAGGAGTTCAAGATGACTTGATTCCGAGTGTGGGCCAACTACACTCTCAATCCATCAGTGAGCATACATGTGAAGTTCAGACAGGCCCAAACCCCTCTCTACCAACAACACCACTTCTAGAAGCTAGGAGATATCCCATTCGAACAAGACAGCCACCAGCTAAGATGATGGACTATGTTACTTATGCCTCACGGCATCCTCACACTAAAACTCTCAATTACAACTGTTTCTCAAAGTCTCACATTGCATTTCTCACTGAAGTTGCAAATAATGTTGAACCTAGCACCTTTCAGGAGGCAAACCAATCATCTAAGTGGAGGAAGGCAATGTCAGAGGAATTACAAGCCTTGAGTGACAACAAAACCTGGAGTCTTGTTCATTTACCACCTGGAAAAAAGGCTGTTGGCAGCAGGTGGATCTTCAAGGTAAAATTCAAAGCTGACGGCTCAATTGAAAGGCACAAAGCCAGACTCGTTGCACGTGGATTCACTCAAACTTTTGGAGTGGATTACAAAGAAACCTTTGCACCAGTAGCCAAGATGAACACTGTCAGAGTTCTCTTGTCTGTGGCAGTTAATTCTGGTTGGTCCTTGTATCAAATGGATGTAAAAATGCATTTCTCCATGGAGAATTACAAGAGGAAGTGTACATGCAACCTCCACCAGGTTATATTCAAGCCCAAAATGGTATGGTCTGCAAACTTCACAAGGCTATTTACGGTTTAAAGCAATCTCCAAGAGCTTGGTACGCCAAGCTCAGCTCCGTGTTGGAAAGGGCTGGTTTTCTTAGAAGCAATGCAGATTCCTCTCTATTTGTTCAAACAGGAATGAGAGGAAGATTGATGATTCTTATCTATGTGGATGATCTCATAATCACAGGTGAAAGTGAAACTGAGATTGCAGCCTTAAAGCAATCTCTACAAGAGACCTTTGCCATCAAAGACCTTGGGAGGCTTAAGTATTTTCTTGGCATAGAAATGGCTACCTCATCCAAAGGACTATTCCTAAATCAAAGAAAATATGTAACTGATATTCTCAAGGAGACAAATCTTCTTGATTGCAAACCTGCAACCTCTCCAATTGACAGCAAGCTCAAGCTTACTATGGATGGGGAAGCTCTTCATCATGTGAGTTATTATCAAAGACTGGTTGGTAAGTTAATTTACCTCACCATTACTCGTCCTGATATCACCTACGTAGTGGGCATAGTTAGTCAATTTATGCATTACCGTTGATCATCTCAACATTGTCAAACGGATCCTTCGTTATCTTAAAGGGTCCATTGGACGAGGAATTCTCATGCAAAATAACCAATCCACAAGCATAAGTGGTTACACTGATGCTGATTGGGCAGGCAATGCCATTGATAGAAGGTCCACGACAGGCTATTGCACGTTTGTTGGAGGCAATATTGTAACTTGGAAAAGCAAGAAGCAACAGGTCATTGCTCGGTCTAGTGCAGAAGCTGAGTATCGTGCAATGGCAGCCACTGCATGTGAGCTTATTTGGCTCAAAAGTCTTCTATTTGATCTAGGGTTTCATTGTTCCAACTCCATACCACTTATGTGTGACAATCAAGCAGCCATGCACATTGCTGCTAATCTTGTCTTTCATGAAAGAACGAAGCATATAGAGGTGGATTGTCATTTTGTTCGATCTCAGGTTCAATCTCAGGTCATTCACACTGTGTTCACTCACAGTTATGATCAATTGGCTGACTTATTCACCAAAGCACTACCATCTGCTCAGTTTCATCGTCTTCTGGGCAAGCTTGGCTCAATAAATCCCCTTGATCCAGCTTGAGGGGGGTGTTGGAACCAAGAAGTATGGACATTGAATATTGTATAATAAACTCAAGCACATGCAGCACGGGCAGCATGGAGATGGTTATGGAGTTGTTAGTATTATAAGTCCTCTCAGTTTTTTATCTCTTGTTCTGTCAGCTTTCTATCTCCACATCATGTGTGGTCTTCGACAAAGACAAGCACGGGCAGCATGGAGATGGTTATGGAGCTGTTAGTATTATAAGTTCTCTCAGTTTTTTATCTTTGCGTGGTCCCAAGAGTTTTGTATAGGGATGGTTGGTTGTAACCGGTTCTTTACTATTCATATATATGAGTTAGTTGTTAACTCTTAAAACATACGAAATACATATATTTTTGAACATAAAATCTACAGGCAGAGAGATAGAGAGAAAGAACAAGATTTGGCCAAACGAAAGATAAATTGAGAGTGGAAAGGTGAGGAGCTGTTGGAAGGCAGATCAAATAAAATAGCAATAAGATCAAGAAGAAAACGCCCAGAGTTCGCCTCTTTCTCCTAAACCGAGCTCTGTTCAATATACGCTGTGAATGTGATCAAGAGGAAACATGCTAGGAAGTGCATTCAGATATTCAATGAGATTGTTGATGTGAAAACAGCAAGAGGAGGGTGAGCTTTTAGACAATGCAACAAAGGAGATGGAAATTTGGTACAACGGACTGGAAACCTCAAACCACTACAGGCAAGAAGCATTGATAGTACAGGCAAGAAGCATCGATGTGTAAAAGAAGAGTCTGTTTTCCGTAGAGTTCACGGGATCATAGAGAAACAAGTGAACTTGAATTCCTAGTAGTCGGTGCTAGAATGATGTATACTGTTATCATTGTGGGAAAGATTCTTGAAGAACAGCCTATGGCTCATGTAAAACTATCCTGTGAAACCAATGAACGAAATGTCAGATGCGAAGAATTCTTATTCGCCTGTAAGTCCTATCGAGTAGACAACATCTCACAGAGTGAATGCCCCCCAAAAAATGCTTGTCGGTAATGCAAACTGCAATGGGAAGACAGCAATCAAACACAAGGTAGAATTACAAGGGTAAGACAATAATGTTAAAACACTCAACACATCCAGGATATGCAACAAAAGAAATACATAAACCACTGTTACTCTACGAGTTCATACGGGATAATGTTAAAACGCTCAACATATCCAGGATATGCAACAAAAGAAATACATAAACAACTGTTACTCCTCGAGTACATAGCAGGGAAACTAAAATATCCAAAGTAAAAGAAACTTTTAAAACTGGAGAATAAGAGTCCCACCAGAAATGTTTTCAAACTGAAAAGAAACCCACCAGAGCAAGCATCATGCTTCTCGCTTTATTTCCATCCCCTCTTGATGAATGTAGAATCAGTTACCTGTTTAAGAAAAGTTCATAAGTAATAGATATCAAAAACTGCTTGGTTAATGCCAAGCCCAAGTTATCAAAATGGTTGCACTACAAGTAAATAGTTGGTTCAATTTAAGATAGGATTCTACTGGGTAAATATCGCAACTCAAAATACTTTTCGATGAACACCCACTAATTTAAAGCAGAAGAGACACAAAAATCAATGAATAACTATTCCAAAAACATATATATTGAAAGCAGTTAGAGTACTTACAAGGGAGAAGGCTTTTCTTGTATGGAAAGACAATAAAAAAAATCGCGTTCAACGAACTCAGCAAAATAAATTCGCTTCCAGGTAGTCTTGTCGGTGTTAAGAATGTAACAATAAATTGTAGTCATGAAAACAATTTCATTTTTCTAGCAGCTACAGAGTTGAGAAACTCATAATCATCTGCGAATGGAGTATAATCCCAGCACTTCAACTCCCAAACAGACTCATTTTCATCCTTTTAAATCCTTACCTTCATATACAGACGATCATTGCAGTTTACAACAACGAATGATAAGCAACCATCAAGATCAATTAGGAAGGACCAGTCAGTTGTATCATCTGGAAGTTCGATAGTTTTAAAATTCCCCTCCATATCCACTGAAAGAACGTCTTCAATGGTTTCGCGGTCTTCCTCTCCAGCCATAAACCAGTAAACTTTTCCATTGCAAAATATGTGATGTGGACCAAGAGGACTTTGCTGAACACGACATATGCCTTTGCAGGCTCCAGTGCTTGATGAAAAGATCTCACACTCAGGGTTGAGTTCTTCGCCGTTGTCATCGAAGTTGGAGGAGAAAAAGCGAAATACTTTGTACTCACTGGCTCCTGGGCCAAAGGCAACCCCCATGCTTAGTTCCGCTTCTGATGGGCTACCTATTGGAAGTGCCCTAGTTTCATGAGTAGCAGGATTGCAGATATAGATTTTCAGGTCTTCCTCTGATGCTTGAATCCTTCTCGAGTGAATATACCAGGGATAGTTGGTGAAACATGTCAACCCATTATAGGAACAAATCATTCTAAGAGATGACAGATTTTCAGAATGAGGAAGAGTTATTACTTCGGTGATTACCCCATTACCATCAATCAAATGCAAAGTTTTCACAGCATCCGTACAAGAATAAACCATATAGAGCACATCTTCTGCTGACCGGCTAAAATGCAATTCAGCGAATTGTGGACTGCGAATCAGTCCACATCAGTGTCTAGAAACAAACTTGGAACTTAAGAGGCACTGAACAGGAAGCCTTGACAGAATATCCCCAAACAATTCTTCCAGACATTCCACATGAGACCAAGCACTGCGATTTCTCGGCAGAACATTTGAGGTACGTTGTGCAACAGCTCTATCCATTTCAGTCTGCTCTCAGGGCTTTTTTTTCAAGAGTAACAAACTATACCACCTGGACAGGTTTCCAAATGAGCCCGCCTGCAGCATGAATAGGTCAATCTTTTGTTTCATATGTTTATCATGGAGAAACAATGACAACATCCGAAGCTCAGAAAAACAGAGAGATATACTTCAGCTAAGTTATTTATTTGTCCAAACTTCTATTTCAAAAGCAATTGCAAAATCTGGACCAAAAAAAAAACACACCATACATGGAGAGCATCTCAGAATTTTGATAGTAGTATCTCTTAACAAAAATTGTTAACAAACATTTGTCTGTTTACAGTAATATCAGTATTTACAACAACAACAACAACAACAAAGCCTTTTCCCACTAAGTGGGGTCGGCTATATGAATCCTAGAACGCCATTGCGCTCGGTTTTGTGTCATGTCCTCCGTTAGATCCAAGTACTCAAGTCTTTTCTTAGGATCTCTTCCAAAGTTTTCCTAGGTCTTCCTCTACCCCTTCGGCCCTGAACCTCTGTCCCATAGTCACATTTCGAACCGGAACGTCAGCAGGCCTTCTTTGCACATGTCCAAACCACCGGAACCGATTTTCTCTCATATTTCCTTCAATTTTGGCTACTCCTACTTTACCTCATATATCCTCATTCCCAATCTTATCCTTTATCGTGTGCCCATACATCCCACGAAGCATCCTCATCTCCGCTACACCCATTTTGTGTACGTGTTGATGCTTCACCGCCCAACATTCTATGCCATACAACATCGCTGGCCTTATTGCCGTCCTATAAAATTTTCCCTTGAGCTTCAGTGGCCTACGACGGTCACACAACACGCCGGATGTACTCTTACACTTCATCCATCCAGCTTGTATTCTATGGTTGAGATCTCCATCTAATTCTCCGTTCTCTTGCAAGATAGATCCTAGGTAGCGAAAACGGTCACTTTTTGTGATCTTCGCTTGATTGCTCCGGTCATTAGTGTGGATAAGTATATAAATGGATAGAGATAGGAAAGCAAACACAAGATGTACGTGGTTCACCCAGATTGGCTACGTCCACGGAATAGAGGAATTCTCATTAATTGTGAAGGGTTTACACAAGTACATAGGTTCAAGCTCTCCTTTAGTGAGTACAAGTGAATGATTTAGTACAAATGACATTAGGAAATATTGTGGGAGAATGATCTCGTAACCACGAAACTTCTAAGTACCGGAGTGTGGTATCGTCTTGACTTGCCTTATCTGTCTCATAGGTAGATGTGACATCTTCTCTGGAAGTACTCTTCCTCCATCCAGGGGTGGTATCTGTAACTGGTGGAGATGCACAAGGTAATGTATCAATTTCACTTGAAGCTTACTTGTAGTTTCAGGCTTGGTCAAGCGCGATACAAACCATGTAGTAGGAGTCCCCCAAGTCGCCGAGCTAAGGGATCTGCTGAAAGAGGTGACAGACAAGGTAAGCAATCAGAGCTCCGGCTGATTGTTCACATTCTCCCTATCTTGCAGGCAGCATGAAGGATAAAGAGAAGAAAAATGAGAAGAGATGATATGGGATACTTTTGCTTTTGAAGAAGTAACTTTCCACAGGCTTATTTCTTGAACTGGGCTGGAGGGTTTTCTGGTTTCCTCCAGAGTATAAGGCCGACTGAAGAATTTGAGGGTCAAAACAAGTCCATCAAATCTAGAGTACGTTCGACCCTGCTGATATATGGGATACTTTTTGCTTTTGACAGAGTAGTGGATGTATCGGCACGTGTGCTGTTACGCTTGTCTCCACATGCTTCCTTGTATCCTTCTCACTTGCCCTATCTGTTCCTCAGGCAGATGCGGTATCTTCCCTGGAAGCATAAGATGTTGAAGATGAGTACTCGAGAGCAATGTTAGGTAAGTAATCAGGTAAGGGGTTCCAGGCAGTCAGTTCCTGGCTGGAAGCTTGATTCCAAGTGCTGACTGATTGCTCTCTTTCTCCTTGTCTTGCAGGTAAGAACAAGGCCAAAGCAAAAGACAGGGAAAAAGCATGATATGGGATACTCTTGCTTTTAACCCTGATGATATGAGATATTCTTGCTCTAGTATAGCTTGTTTACAGAGGTATTATCGGGGGGAAAGAAAGCTGAATATTTCGAAAGGCTTCGTTGGGAGTGCCCTCTCAGATAAGAGAAAGGGTTGAGCATTTTTGCAGGTCTGCCTATCCGTTAGGGATGGAGGTCGACATATATAGGAGTCTCCCTAACATTAAGTAATAATGCTATTCCTTTACCCTGCTTGGTCATAGCACGGTAGTGGGAGCTGCCAGCTTCACATGTTTTAACTCTGTCAGAGCACTTTGAAAAAGTGGTCTGTGGTATCTGGAAAGCTGATGTTGCGTGTGAAGATTACAGACAAGCTTTATCCAAGGAGATCCAGCTCTTGAAGTTGGGAAAGTGGTGCCTCTTCGGTTTTCGAACAAGCAATCTTTTCGGGGATCTGGCTCTCGAGATTCAGAGAACGATGCCTCTTCGATTTTTGAGAAAGCAATCATGCTGGGGGTCTGGCTCTCGAGATTCGGAGAGCGGTGTCTCTTCGATTTTTGCGAAAGTAATCATGTTGGGAGTCTGGCTCTCGAGATTCAAAGGGCGGTGCCTCTTCGATTTTCGAGCAAGCAATCTTGTTGGGATTGTTTTCTCGAATGTGAGTAAAGGTTTGGCATGTTTGCTAGTCTACCTTGCCACGAAGCACAGAGGTTGACACACAGGGACTTTCTAATTATCTAGTAGTGGTACTGTTCCTTTACCCTCTCTTCGATTTTTGAGAAAGTAATCATGTTGGGAGTCTGGCTCTCGAGATTTGGAGGGCGGTGCCTCTTCGATTTTGGAGCAAGCAATCTTGTTGGGAGTGTTTTCTCGAATGTGAGTAAAGGTTGGGCATGTTTGCTAGTCTACCTTGCCACGAAGCACAAAGGTTGACACACAGGGACTTTCCAATTATCCAGCAGTGGTACTGTTCCTTTACCCCTCTCTTCGATTTTTGAGAAAGTAATCATGTTGGGAGTCTGGCTCTCGAGATTCGGAGGGCGCGTGTGCCTCTTCGATTTTGGAGCAAGCAATCCTGTTGGGAGTGTTTTCTCGAATGTGAGTAAAGGTTGGGCATGTTTGCTAGTCTACCTTGCCACGAAGCATAGAGGTTGACACACCCGGGACTTTCCAATTATCCAGCAGTGGTACTGTTCCTTTACCCTCTCTTCGATTTTTGAGAAAGTAATCATGTTGGGAGTCTGGCTCTCGAGATTCGGAGGGCGGTGCCTCTTCGATTTTGGAGCAAGCAATCCTGTTGGGAGTGTTTTTCTCGAATGTGAGTAAAGGTTGGGCATGTTTGCTAGTCTACCTTGCCACGAAGCATAGAGGTTGACACACCGGGACTTTCCAATTATCCAGCAGTGGTACTGTTCCTTTACCCTTGTGGGTAATAATATGGTAGCTAGACCTTCAAAATTTATGTGTCTAAACTTTGTTAGTGTTGTTTCTTTGCAATTCTTTTACCCTTCTTGGTCAGAGCGATGTAGCGGGAGCTGCAAGCTTCACGTGTCTCAACTTTGTTAGAGAACTTTGGCAAAGTTATCTGTGGTACCCATGAGTTACTGTTGCGTGTGGGAAGTGGGTGATTGAACAGTACGATTCATGTGCTTTCTACTTCGCCAGAAATCTTCGACAGAATGCCCATAATTTCCGCAAAGCTGAGTGTGCGTGTGACAGGTGCTGACAAGGCTGGAAAAGTAGGTGCCTCTTCGATTTCTGAGATCGGCCCTCGTGGTCTCTTAGCAGCCCAGCTTTTGAGAAAGCAAGCCTCTTCGATTTCTGAGATCGGCCTTCGTGGTCTCTTGAGCAGCCCCAGCTTTTGAGAAAGCAAACGCCTCTTCGATTTCTGAGCAGGCGGCCTCTTCGATTTCTGAAGCTTCGAGTCGATTTTGCAGATTTTTTAGGGGCTGACATTAAGTTCAAAAGCACACTTGAATATCCACCAGTAGAAGCTCCATTCTTGCACTTCTAAGATCTTTGATTTGTTCCGACCTCTCTTCTCTCTTCAACACCTTTGAAAATGTCTGGCCCCTCCGACCGTCGTTTTGACTTGAACCTTGTTGAAGAGGCAGCCCCGCCTTCTCCAGACAACATATAGCGCCCATCCTTCGTCTCCCCCTACTGGTCCTCTTACCGTTGGGGATTCCGTGATGGAAGAATGATATATGACCGCTGCGCGTGGTGGCCAGGAACCTTCTCACTCTCCCAAAGATAACAGACTACTTTCCAAACGGTCTGATGAGTTGGCTGTTAAGGATTCTCTGGCTCTCCAGTGTTCAGTGTTGCAGGTTCTGTGTCTAATATGGCCCAACGCTTATTTGCTCGAACCCGCCAAGTTGAATCATTGGCGGCTGAAGTGATGAGTCTCAAACAGGAGATTAGAGGGCTCAAACATGAGAATAAACAGTTGCACCGGCTCGCACATGACTATGCTACAAACATGAAGAGGAAACTTGACCAGATGAAGGAATCTGATGGTCAGGTTTTACTTGATCATCAGAGATTTGTGGGTTTGTTCCAAAGGCATTTATTGCCTTCGTCTTCTGGGGCTGTACCGCGTAATGAAGCTCCAAATGATCAACCTCTGATGCCTCCTCCTTCTAGGGTTTTGTTCAGTACTGAGGCTCCGAATGATCCCCCTCCGGTGCCTTCTCTTTCTGGGGCTCTACCGACTGCTGAGACTTCTCCTAAGCAACCTTTGTGAATGCTCCCTCTTGTTTGTTTATTTTGACTCAAGTATATGTACATATTTGTAACTTATCGGGGATATCAATAAATAAGCTTTCCTTCATTTCAACGTATTGTGTTAAATACACCAAAGCCTTCTTCGCTAAGTTCTTTGAATTTTCTTTTGTTGAAGCTTGTATGTTGAAGCTTTGTGAGTGGAGCATGTAGGTTGAGGTAGTGTTCCCTTAATTTCCCGAGTGAGGAAAACTTCTCGGTTGGAGACTTGGAAAATCCAAGTCACTGAGTGGGATCGGCTATATGAATCTTAGAACGCCATTGTGTTCTGTCCTGCTACAAAAATAATACCATATTTCATCTTGGGAAACCCGTTCCAATTCTCACTTACAAATTCACAGTAAAGGTCGTACCCAGTGCACAAGGCTCCCGCTTTACGCAGGGTCTGGGAGAGGTGAATGTCGGCTAGCCTTACCCCCATTTATGGAGAGGCTGCTCCCAAGTCTCGAACCCGAGACCTACCGCTCATGAGCGAAGGCACTTGCCATCTCACCAAGTGCAACCTCTTCACTTACAAATTCACAGTAACAAATAATTATTTTAAACTATCAAATTGAGCAAGCCATAGTGCCGTGTAGAACTGCATCTTGCAAGTTATTCTCCTGGTTGTATATATCATTCTCAGAGTCAACAATTTTATCATATAATGTTTACCCAAACTTGGAATTCAGGAAATGACCATTGATTTGAAAAATGTAAAGCTAGGAAAAGTTGAAATAATTATCAAAACATCTACAAAAAATTAAAGAAAATAAGTGGAAAAACTTCTGAAACCATAACCAGCTACTTCTGAAATCACTCTGCAATGATTGCACAATCTCATTAAGCTATGGGATTGTTGTATCCAGATAATTGCAAGAATTGACAGACAAAAAAGGTCAAAAGAAAACAAAGTGACCGAGAACTCTATCACGAACGAAAAAAGGAAGGGTAAAAAACTAATACAAATGGACATAAACATCAAACGCTGAAATTTTCTTTACCAATGCGCCAAGAACATTCATGTGGTCAACCAGATCCAATTATAATCATACAACAATTCAGATATCTAGAGAATTTTAAAGTGATTAGATAAAGAATATGATTAATGAAACTGACAATTTTATAAATCATAGTCAACGATTCGAGCTGGAACAGTGATTACGAATAGATATGAATTACATAGATTCCGAGAGCTGGACAGTGTTTACGAAGAGATAGTTACATCAGAAACAAACATATGATACAAGCTCAAATCCCTCTTAAATTGGTGCAAGAAAAGGTATGACCTCATGCTGAAGTTTGGAAGATCACAGCACTCATAGGTAAAGGGGATCAACAACGAAATCAAAGTTCCCTCATTCCATACCAAAATCGAGTCTGATTGTAGCTTGCAATTATGCATTCTAATAAAAATGTGAAGGAATGGAAATAATTTTTCAGACGACACAATTTTGCAATTACATTATGAAATTTCTTGGAATTTTTCCCTCTTTCAGAATAAATCTTTTGTTGACTAGTAAGTAATAATCTTGCTTGCTGGATGAAGTGAAAATAATTAAAACAACGTAAAAGTAGTGATAGATCTAGAAAGAACTCACCGATAACAATAACCCTTCAGGCCACGTTTTGCAAAGAGACGGGAAAATTTGTTTTCCTGAGCAAGGGAGAAAGAAACAGATAACTTATAAAGCACACAACCAACAAAGTTTCTCACTACCTGGCAATCGAAGCTTTCATGCATTGCAACAAGTGGTAGGTGAAACGAGATTAGCTGATTAGGTAGCGAGAATCCTGAGAATAAAGGGTACCGATACATTTCCATATTACTCATTCATCCCACTCCCGTAATGAGCCAATCTTTCGGATTCTTTTCTTAACCTTGTTGTGCTACTTACACAGTAAACAACTTGTTACCCTTTGTGATAATAGTGACTAATATATCCAACAAATTACTCTAAATACGATGAATGCTATAACATTGTGCAGAAACAATTTTGTAATAGTTATTCATTCAAGTATTATGTATAAGAAATGCAATGCTTGTTTATACTGTGTAACTCATACTCATATCTTAGCATGGTTTTACCAATGCCAAGGTCGAGATAATTTCTGCCACGATATGAAATGCTTGTAAGCTATGTTCATTGCTAAATTAATTTTTTATTGACAAAGTTCTAACGTTACCATTCACTTCTGGTTGGACATGGGCTTATGCTGATGTTTTCACTTGAATTTCAACTTTTCTGTCGTCTTCATATTTAGTATTCTCACAAATCGCATAGAGAAATTTTCTGTCATGATCATTGCCTTCATAAGCCATTGCAAGTCACATTCTTTAACTTTCTTTTATTTCCTTCATTTCTACAGAAATAAAACAAATTCAACAAACAAAATTATTCCACCATTGGCCTCACCTAACAAAAGACCACACACCACAAGGCCGAACATATCATTGAAAGGAATGTCCATATGCAATGACCTATAGAACAGATGAAATAAACATGGAGAGGTTGCCACCATTGAAAAATCTCTCTGTGAAAAATTTGGGGTAACAAAAAATTTCTCTACATCCTTGTAAAGAACAAAAGAAAAATGACCATTCATGTTAGTAACAGGCATATCTTTTGTAATGATGTACCGAAATTAAGTAATTAAACATGGATCAATTCTTATTCGCCTGCTATAAAAGACAGTGATCAGTTTTTCACAAACCCAAGAAACAAAATTGATGAAATAAATGCTACTGTTCATGCATGGTTGCTTACAACAAATCAGCTGCTCATGATAAATATACGATTCACTTGGCATGAGCCAATTGAAGTCATAGTAGGAGAGGCATCAAATCATGACTATAAAGTAACGACGGGGTTTCTGCTAGTAGTAAGATTGACATCCATAGCTTATAACTCATAAACTCATCGACTCGTTACAGAAATCAACAGTAAGACTCATTCAAACGCAATTACATGTTACATCGCTACCGCATAAAGCCTTCCACAGTAAAGTGAATCCCATGGTTAGACTGGATGATAGATTATACAAAAGATAAGGACTTTGAATGTACATTTTCTTCAAAAAGGGAAGCTTGAATCGAATCCTTTAATTTTCATCCAACCTAACAAAAATCCATTTCTTTACTCTAAATTACTTTCTGTTTCATTTTCTGTATGTCTTATCAATTTAGGAACCAAATAACTAGCCTCTTAACTCAACCAAAACCGAAATCCTCTTATCCTGCAGAATTTAGGAAACAGACCCAACTGAAATAAGAAAAATGGGTATAATCCATCATATGAATTAAACACTGCCATTAAATTTAATAATGGTAAAAAAACTACTAAACTTTGTGGGTTCCCATTGTTCATATATTTGTTCTCTTTCCAATTTTCTGCATTGGATGATCATACAAGACCAATATACATTACAAAAAATACGAAATTCAAAAATATAAATCTAAATTGAGAAACAATATAATACTTAGACCTTCCCCGTTTCACAAAAGAGCAGAATTTTGCAGTAACTGAAGAAACGGCAGGTAAAAAAGGTAAAAATTAAATTGAATTTTGAATTTACCTGTGCAAAGAAAAGGTGAAAATTGTATCCCCTGGCCTGTGCAAAATTGCCATGGAGGGCACCACAGAGAATTTTGATAGGCATAGAACTGAAGCATTGAATTTACAGAAAAAAAGTGGAGAAGGAGACATATGTATGTATGTATGTATGTAAGTATGTTGTAATGTCAGTAGTTTGGAGGTAGCAGACAAATAGCAGTTTCTGCAGCTGCAGCTGCAGGAGGCTGAGGCTGCTGCTGCTGCCGCCGCCGCCGCTGTCCATAAAAATTTGAAAACACCATTGGGTTGGGTTGGGTTCTCCCTCGGTCTGAACCCGGTCCTTTAGTTATTGTATCGGGTCAACCTGATTTTGGGTTAGTTTTAATTAGGACCACGCTTTGACCACTGTGTGAATTTTGTTCAGTAAAACACGATGATTAAAATAGATTTTAAGTAAAAAGTGATCCTTTTCCGTCCCGGTGCATTTAGTACGTGGGATGGAACGGACGTGTTCCTTTTCCTTAGGTATTGTTTGGTATGCAGACAGGACGGGACGGGACGAAACGGAATGTGACGGGACGAGATGGGACAGGATGGGATGGAATGGAGAGTGAGTAAAGATGCACTCGGATGAAAACAAGGAGGAAGAAGAAGGAGATAGAGAGGTTATAATTTTGTGTTCCACGGATGTAGAATGAGTTGTTCCAGGGGGTGAGGTGGAATAAAAATTCACCCAAAACTCATCATGTGGAACAGCGCGTTCCACCCGTTTTAGGCGCACCAAACGTAAGACGGAACGCCTCGTCCTACTCCGTTCCGTCTCATCCCACGTACCAAACGATACCTAAAATTATGTGGAACGCGTGTCCCACGGAACGAAAATGGGTTAAATTTTGATTATCCCTCCCCCCTGGAATGGGTTTTTCCATCCCGTGAAACACAAAAATCATAAAATTTAAGACAAAAATACCCCTTAACTTTTTCAATATTTACACCTAAATCATACAACAAACCCTATTCTTCCTCTTCATCTTCGCTGCCGCAAGTTCTACATCTTCCTCTTCTCTGCCTCAAGTTCTATCATCTTCCTCTTCTCTGCTGCTGAAGTTCTTCATCCATGCATCTCCCCTTCGCAACCTTCCTCCTCATCCTGTTCCGTGTGCCTCTACGTGAACTTCTCTGCATCTCCGTTCCAAGTTCAATCTGTATTTAGAGGTATCTCTCTATCTGGATTCATTTTTTTTCAGTGTTCAAGTTTCAATTTTTATGTGCTGAAATCTACAAATCTGATGTCTTTGGGTTCTATTGGATTGGATTATGTTTTGGATTTTCCTCTGTTGGATTTTTTTCAGTGTTCAAGTTTCGATTTTTATGTGCTGAAATCTACAAATCTGATGTCTTTGGGTTATGTTGGATTGGATTTTGTTGGATCGATCATGAGTAGCTGAATAAGTGTGTATATAAATGCTTAAAGAGGAAATAGAAGGAAAAATAAAAATTTAGGTTGTGAAATTGTTAAGTTGGGGTTGGAAGCATGTCATGCAGTACAATTATGAAACTTTTTAAGAACAAGTGAATAATACAAATTAATTACCTGGGCTCCCGTAAGAATGGCTAGGTCCTGCAAATTTGCCTTCCTGTTTTCTCCAAATCCAGGGACTTTAATAATTGCACAAACCTTCAAACCCACCAACAGAATCATATCAGGACAATGAAATAAAAGTTAGTTAACACTTTTTAACAGTGGAAACAGTTAGTATACAACAAAAATATAAACATCACCTTAATTCCAGCACGAAGCTTGTTTATAATAAGTGTTGCTAGAGAAGAGAATTAGGCCAACACAACAATGGAAGCGTGTCATGCAGTGCAATAAGCAACAACAATTCCAAATCTTTTTCATTTGTGTGGGTCACCAAACTATGTTTTTTATTTGCAATTTACTTATTTGCAATTTACTCTTTGTGGTTCACAATATATCATCCCAGGTTTTAGTTTGGACACTTTTATCATTATCAATTCCTATTAGGGTTCTTTCGATGTTTCTGAAAAATATAGTATCATATTTTGATTCATTCAATAATTGAATCCTACGTATCTTTTTTTTTCATGTGAAGGTTTGGACGAATATGAGACTCAATTCTTTCTTCTTTTGAACGTTTGGATTATAATGGCACAAGTCTTTAGTATGAATTGCCAATTGTTGAGGTATAGACAACAACAAAGGAGACAACAGGAAAGAGGTAGTTTAGAGCAAAGAACATTTGTTAGACTTCATATTAGGAGAGAGGAAATAAATCGTATTACGCAATTGAGTGATACTAACTGTTTGTGGGAGCTGCAAATGGATAGGAATGCATTTGCAGTTTTATGTGATTTACTACAAACTTGTGGTGGGTTGGTAGATGATGGTCATGTTACAATAGAGGAGCAAGTTGCTACTTTTGTTAACATATTAGCTCACCACAATAAAAACAGGTCAATGCAAGTTAGATTCATTAGGTCTGGTGAAACTATTAGTCGGTATATTCGCAGAGTATTGCGTGCGTTACTCAATTTGCAAGAAGTGTTGTTTGCAAAACCACCCATATCCCAGAGGATTGCACATAATCGAGATGGAAATGCTTTAAGGTAAGTATCATAGTAAAATCATTAATAACATAATTATTTGTAGTTGGTAATTAATATAGGTTTTTCTTTTGTCTAGGGTTGCTTAGGAGTGCTAGATGGAACATACATAGGGGTCACTGTGCCTGAGGTCGATAGACCAAGATATAGAACAACGAACGGTCATATAGCAACTAATGTGTTAGGCGTATGCACACATGACCTCAAATTCGTATATGTGTTATCCGGTTGCGAGAGATCAGCTACTGATTCGAGAGTTCTTGGTGATGTTGTTACTGGAGCTAATGGCCTCAAGGTCCTAACTGGTAAGATAGACAAGACTCAATATTCTTCCTTACCTTTGTTGGCAACAACTAAAATTTATTATAAACTAATGTAGGTACATACTATTTGGTTGATTCCGGATATACGAATGGTGAGGGTTTTCTGGCACCGTATAGAGGCACTAGATACCATTTGCAAGAGTAGGAAGGCAATGCACGTGCACCTATGAATCATGAAGAATATTTTAATATGAAACACTCATGTGCTAGGAATGTCATTGAGAGATGTTTTTGGCCTCCTCAAAAGACGTTGTGCTATCTTGCGAAGTCCTTCCTACTATCCAATCAAGATTCAGGGACGAATGATTACTGCATGTAGTTTACTTCATAATTTTATTAGAATGTACATGGCGGTTAATCCTGAGGAAATGCAAGGCTTGCATTTGATGAATTGCCTATAGGGGAAGATTTACTAGAAGTATTAGCCTACATTGAAACTGTTGAGTCAAGCCAAACATGGATTCAATGGAGGGATGATCTTGCAAGAGAAATATATGATGAGTGGAGAGGAAGGAGGGCTTGAAAATGGGTTGACATAGTAGTTGTTGTAATTGTCTTTTATTGTTTGATGACATTTACTGAGATGTTTGTTGTAATTGTTTTTCATTGTTTGAAGACTATTGAGATGTTTATTAAGTGGATTTGTAATGTGGTAATTGAGAGTTATCTGGATGTTATGATTGATAAAGCCCGATGTTGTTATATGGTAGGAATTAGAAATACTGTTTAAAATTTTAAATTTGCTTAATTGCTTAGAAATTAATCTGACCCTAGTACCTTATCTTTCTACAGCCAGGCTAGAAACAAACCACAAGAATGGATAATTTAGAATATACTTCTGCTTACTAAATATATTGTTGCTAACCAAAAACCTCACTTGGATAATATTGTTTTATTTCAGTCCTCATGATATGTGTGTTATCATCAGTTTACTGTTTAATATGCATTTTCTATGATCTTTAAAATTTTTGTTTGTAAGTGTATCCCTTGGTGTTGCCATGTAGCCTTGAGTACATGGATAATAAATTGATAATTGATTACCTTTTCCACTAGGAAGTAATTTAGCTTTGTAAAAAGCTGTAGGCAGATATTAACGTAATTGCATCATGTTTGCTCCACTAACAATATGTTTCTTTGTTTTTCATATGCAATATTATGGCTTATTTGATAGATTATATGGCCACCTCACGTAATTGGAATGATAATGAGGAGGATGTGCTGCTTACCATCCTCGAGGAGATGGTAGTTGATGGTGTTAGGTGTGAGACCGGCAGTTTTAAGGCTGGTACATTTGTAATGGTTGCCACCAAGATGAGGGAGATGATTCCGGGCATTAATACAGAGCCAAAGCATATACAAAACAAGCTGAAGCGTCTGAAAGAAAAGTATTCCTCTGTATATGACATGATGAATACCTCTGGATTTGGTTGGAATGACGAAAAAAAAATGTGTTGTTGTGGATAGTGACGATGTACTACAGATGTGGGTGAAGGTACATTTTGTTTCTTATTCTTTTTCAATTAGTTGCTTTAATAAGATTTTTCTTCATTTGTAGTTAAATACCAAATTATTATTAACTCATAGGCCTCTTCCCAATATATATAGTTGTCTCACCCTTCCTAATATATATAGTTGTCTCAAAAAACACAATCTTGCACAATTGCACGTGCACAATCTTGCACAGGTTCTACTAAGTTCAATTTTATTTTAAAATATTCAATTTCAATATTTGATTTCTTTGAAGTCATAACTTTGATTTCTTTGGGTTCTTATTGTAGAAACATCATAATGCATCTTTCAAACCAAATAAGCCATTTCCATTGTATCCACGCTTGTGTACAGTGTTTGGGAGAGACCGAGCCACGGGTAGTATGGCTGAATCAGCAACAGATGCAATGGAAAACATGGGAGTGGAAAATGAGGATTGCAATGAGACCTTCGAGATGCCTCCGACTTCACCTACCCCATCTCCTTTTGTTGGTACATCCAGTGCATCTCAACCTATTAGGAAGAGGAAAAGGAATAAGGATGATGCTGATGCAAATATTGTAGCTGTTATTCGTGAAGGTTAGGATAAAGCAGTTACTGAAATGAAGTATTTAGGGGAAAGTTTTACTTTAAGAGAAGCTAAAGCGAAGTTACCTTCTCAGCTTAAGGTCATGGGTATCCCATATGATTAGGTGCTGAAAATTTGAATGAAGTTAGTGAAAGATACTGGTATATTTAGTTTTTGGTGTACCCTGGATGACTCTGACAAGCCAGATTTCATTAAAATGTTTATGGATGGCATCTGAGCATTAGGGGGTTTAGTATGATATGACCTATATCAAGGTATGAATCTCTGGCTCATTTCATTTCTGTTCATATTTATTTAATTTTTTGAATCATTACATTTATGTGGGGATTTCAGCTCTAATGTATTAGAAATTTTCTGTTTTGGATATGAATTTTCAATGGGCTATTTGAGTGGATTAATAAATTCATAACGTATTAAGTTATGGGTAAATTGGGGTTAATTCACTTAATTGTGAGATCTGCTAGTTAATGGTGTGAAGTACTAGTTACTACAGTTGTATTTGTTTGTAGTGATTTGGGTCCAATAAAGTTGACATTTAAACTTAAAATCTTGAATGGGAGGTGTCAAACTGTTTTTATAGTGCCGGTTCTATATCGCTTTAATGATGTTGGGCATAGTAGTGGTCAAGTGCTCTTCACAACCTTGAATCATGGGATGTGTTCATTGCAGTTGCCTGAAGTTGGAATGATTTATAGTTTTGTTTGTAGTTTGAGATTTGTATATCTCAATGGCTGAAAATTGAATTAGAATGTGAGAAAGATCGAAAATGACTTGTAGAGAGGCGATGAATTCATTGTGCATCGTTTCCTGATCAACAATGAATTTGTTAATGTTCTCTATTTAGGGTAGATAGTGTTGCCTGTTAAGCATCCATGATTCTAGCCTTGTCTTCGTGTGTCCTATATAGTCGATGCATGTATGGTGATCATGTGGTTCAATGTCTTATTTCTGAGATATATTGCTTTTCTTTCATTTGTGACCTGATTAAGTAACTCGGGGATGCATATTTCTCTGTGCATCTCTGCTTCCTAGAGCCTTAGCATTAAGTTGTTCTGTTTTAATGCATGTTTGCTTATGGCAGGAAAGCTGGAGAAGGCCTAAGGATATTGATTCACGTGTCAGGTGAAAGTTCAAGGGATGTGCATTGATACCCAACATTGGCTATGCGTTAGAATTTTGGGAGAAATTTTATTCAAGATGCTACTTTTGTTTTCGATTTGGTACTATTGAATTTTATTCAGAATTTTACTAATCTAGTCATCTTAGATGACATGAAGTTCTACCAATTTGTTTGATTTTGCCATTTTACTGTAGTTCCTCGAGTAAATTTTCAGTTTTAATTACTCATTTTCACTTTTACTATCTAGTGTCGCTTTTGAAACAGCATATTCTGCCAAACAAAATGAATCCAATCGAATTATATATGTTTTCCATTGCTGTATCCATGATTTATGCTATAATTTGGAACATGTTTAAGTTGGTTGTTCACCTCTCTTGGGACTGCATTTCTAGGAAGCAATTATGCGCATGCTTGCTTCTACTAGAACTGTAGAAATGCTTATCTCAATATAAGGTTAGTTCATGGGAGAAAAACAAATAATGAATAAGTATATATGTGTTCAAATATGAAAAACTTAAAAAAATTAAAAAATAAATAAAAAATTAAAAAAATAACTATCTCGTCCTGTAACACACATAAATGTTGTACCAAACAACAGATGGAACATGGATAATTTAGTCATTTACCTTTTGGTTATGTTCCGTCCATGCGCTTACCAAACGCAGAACGAAACAACAATCTCATTCCGTCCTACGCATACCAAACATAACATGGAACATCTATTCCGCCCCGTCTCGTTCTATCCCGTCTCATCCCATCCCGTTCCGTTCCGTCCCATCTGCGTACCAAACAGTACCTTATCACAGTTGTGAAAATTTGGTGAGCCCTTGTATAACGGCGTAAGTTCAAATCCCATTGATGCTAATCTAATATCTAATCTAACAAAATCTATCGTTTAACCAAAAAAAAAAAAAGATTTTAAGTATAAATACAACGATAAAAAAAATTTCAACCCAAACAAAAAAATTGAGCACGTCAACACACTAACCATATAGCTGACCGAATCCTAGCAAAAGAACAAAGTTGATGTCAAATAGTAAATTTCAAGGACTACATTGATTGATTTTGAAATTGAGAAACAAAAATGAGATTTTTGAACAATTTCAGAAACTATTTGTACTGAAAGGACTAGGTCATATCAGTCTTCTTTTGGGTTGAAAGCCCACTAGCTTGAGAATCACTACTTGGTTGAGGATCATGGCTTTTTAACTCGAGGTAATCCATTCTCGACCAAATTGTTAATTTAGATCCAAACAATTATTTCATCTTTCACTTTATTCATTCCAAATGCTAGAAAGACGGCTAAAAAAAATGTAAAAATCAACTCCCTTGATGTTATAACTTATATGCACGAAGTGAAGTGCACGCTTTGAATTCATAGGCTTTTGGTTACTCAATAATACACAAATCGTGGAGAATGAAAAGAAGCAGTCAAATAGAAATAGGAGAAGAACCAGAGTAAAAAAGGAGAAAAAATAACATTTAAAAGGGGAAAGATCTGCTTATTCCATAGAATCCGGCAGTCAAATAGAAATAGGAGAAGAACTAGAATCAAAAAGGAGAAAAAATAACATTTAAAAGGGGAAAGATCTGCTTATTCCATTGAGCTTGTTCAACAATGTGCACTCTGGATCCGCGTGAAACGCTAAGGTAGCTTGCTTACTTAGTACTTGCGCTAAGGGCTAGGGTTGCTCTTTTGGTAACTCTAACTGTAGATTTTTTACCTTGACTCTTTCGGTATCGGTATGCCTTCGATGATTACTACTTTAATGAAGAATCCGGATTCTCTTTGTGAGGATTTCGGGAATCCGTGAATCATATATGTTCATCGTACATCATACAGTTAGAAATTATTTTAAATATTTTTATTTAAAATTAAATACAAACCGTACCTGATAAAAACTAACCGTACAATATACAATGAATAAACATAATTTAAGGATTCCTAAAGGATCCGGAAAGGATCTGTTGGTATTCAGGTTGGTTCGGTATTACTGTGATTTAAAAAAAAGCTGCTTCTGTTGTATTGTGAGAATAAACCGCTGTAAAATAAGGCAACAGAGTGTTTGATAAACATTTTTGTAAAAGTGTTTTTGAAAAAAAAAACAGTATTATAATGTTTGATAAACTTTTATGTAAAACAGATGTGAAAAAAAATCGGTTTTTCAAAGTTGGGTTTTGCAGCTTTGTGTTTTTGGTTTTTTTTTCATCCAAAACTATGAAAAAAAGCTGAAACTGAATGTTTACCAAACACAAAAAAACCCCCAATTTTTTTAATATTTATTTTTTTTTAAATTATCTCAGTACCAAATCAGATCTTTAAAAAAAAAAAAATGAGAAGCAGGCTTGGAAGTCGCAAGCTGACTACTGATGTGATAGAAGCAGAACAAACAGAGAGACTTTAAAACAAGAACAACATAGAAAAAGGAACATGAAAGACTCAAAATCATATTCACACATAAAATATAATGCTCATGTGTCTAATCGTATTACCCAATCACCGTCACGCTTTCAGAATACAAAAAGATTTCTTGATCACATAAACTATAAGAAACCCATTATTTTAATAGATCCATTTATCCTCAGTCGGATTATTATTATTTGATATTGTTGAATTTTGGATGTGTATTTCATATCAAAACAATTACAAGATGAAACATTATATAGGAAAAGAAAGTAGACATAAGCCTAACTTGCCTAACTTGCCTAACTTGCCTAATTTACACAAGGAATGTTGACTAGCCTAACTTCAATAGTCATCCAACATGTTTATTTCATGCATGCATTTTAACAAAAGATAAGACTTGCATGCATTCCAACACTCCCCCTCAAGCTGGATCGAGGGGATTCCTTGAGCCAAGCTTGGACAGAATGCGCATGAACTGAACCGTAGGAAGAGGTTTAGTAAAAATAACGCTTTGCTTCTTGCTGCGCCATGTTACCAAATTCCCACTTGAAATGGCTTCGTGCCGCAAACAAACAGTAATGGCTTCGTGCCACAAACAAACAAACTTGAAATGGCTTCGTGCCGCAAACAAACAGTAATGGCTTCGTGCCGCAAACAAAGAATAATGGCTTCGTGCCACAAACTTGAACAACGTTAGGTAGAGCTAAAGCATCCATCGAGCTCTCAGCTTCATAATGTTCTCCAGCCATCTTGGCTTAGAGTAAAAGTTCTCCAGCCATCTTGGCTTAGAGTAAATGTTCTCCAGCCATATTGGCTTAGAGTAAAAGAAACTTAGCAGAAACGATCAACAGAGCATCCATCGAGCACTCAACTTCATAATGTTCTCCAGCCATCTTGGCTTAGAGTAAAAGAAACTTAGCGGAAACGATCAACAGAGCCAGGAATTTCGAGTTCCTGCTCTGATACCATGTTGAATTTTGATGTGTATTTCATGAAGAAACAATTACAAATGAAACATATATATAGGGAAAGAAAGTAGACATAAGCCTAACTTGCCTAACTTGCCTAATTTCCTAACTTGCCTAACTTGCCTAATTTACACAAGGAATGTTGACTAGCCTAACTTCAATAGTCATCCAACATGTTTATTTCATGCATGCATTTTAACAAAAGATAAGACTTGCATGCATTCCAACAGATATATACATTGCTGTTAATATAAATGTCGAGAAAAAAAAATATAAAACTTACAACTAAATTAAGACATGAATTTAGCCAGGTTAACTAAAACAATGTGTTCTCTTTTTCGCACACCTGTTCAAATCCTCATTCTCGTACTTATGAAGAATTTAGTTAGAATATAGCTTGTATCCAAAGAAATAAACAAAAATTACAATTACATCAAATAGTGATTATGATGAAGAAAATTGAGATTTCACCATAAAACCAATTTGCAAGGTTTATCCTTCCATCAATGTAAAATTCATTCTTAATGTATAATTGATGTTTTCCTTTCTTTGATGACTCCCACAAACACGTTGGCAATTCTGACTATTAACGTCACAAAGTTAATGCAGCTCATGACTTTGAAAGTTTGATTTTCCAAATGGATTGTGATGGTCAGATCGAGCAAGGCTTCTGCTGTAGTTCATATATATCGTCAACAAAGTTGAACCAATCAACTTTAGACCATAGTTACGTGATACATATTTACCACTACTAGCTTAAGCTAATTCCTGATAAACTTTCATGGATCCAAGGCTCTACAAATCTGCAAAATCCGGGGATGTTTACATCCTCAAGCGACTTCTTAACGATAATCGGAGCCTACTGTATCAACTTACACCCCGAGGAAACACAGCCCTCCATGTCGCAGTTCAGTTCGGACATAAAAATGTTGTCACTGAAATTTATAACAGATGCAGGTCCCTTCTCACACAGCCAAATTCGGATGGAGATACTCCTTTACATGTGGCTGCAAGGGTTGGTTCCTTCTCTATAGTGTATTATCTGGTTCGCGAAATTCAATTCATGTCACAGGAAGATTTCGTGAACACGAACATTGGCGTGTTTGAGACGCTGAGAATTGGAAACAAGGGGAGCAACACGGTCTTACACGAAGCTGCAAGGAATGGTCATGCAAAAGTTGTTGAGTGCTTGCTCAAAGTTGATCCCAAATTGGCCTGTTTTGAGAATGACAATGGCGAGTCTCCATTGTACCTGGCTGCAAGAGGGGACGTGTTAGAGATCGTGGATCAAATTTTAAGATCAACGCCATCATCAGCTCATGGCGGACCAGAAGGCGAAACAGCTTTGCATGCTGCCGTAATTGAGAAGCATTTTGGTACGTCATACTTTGGCTCCCTTTATGTTTTAGCTTCGCTTTGCAATTAACGGTTTAATTATTCATCATCAAACAGTCAGTACTAGCATAATTCCTCTTTTATTTTAGTTGCTCAAGTTCAGTATTTTCTTATAAAAACTTAAATTTCGTTATTGTAGATATCGTGGAAGTACTCCTAAGGTTCAAACAGCAACTTGTCAAAGAAACTGACCACCAAGGCAGGACTCCTCTCCACTATGCAGCATCCCTTGGAGATCACAAAACAGTTCGACGATTACTAGAAATCGATACTTCTACTGCGTATGTTCTGGATAAAGAGGGCCAGTCACCAATTCATGTTGCAGCAAGGGAAGGGCGTGGCAGTGTCATTAGTGAAATTATTCAACATTGCCCAGATTCGGGTGAACTTGTTGACCCTTTTGGGCGAAACACTCTTCATATTGCCATCCAAGGTGGGCAAGTAAATGTTGTCAGGTATATACTGGAAACACCCGATCTGGAGGGGCTCATAAATCAGCCGGATGTTGATGGAAACACGCCTTTGCATCTCGCAACCATAGAGAGAAAAACATGGATTTTGTACTACTTGATGTGGGATGGAAGAGTAAATCAAAGATCTAAGAACAAATATGGCCAAACAGCATCTGATGTTGATAGATCAATCAAAGAATGCAGTCTTAGATTTCCCATGGTAAGTACCAAAAACATAGCTAATCTCCTTTATTTATGATTGATCTAAATGCTTAACTACAACAGTTCATCTGCCGTAAACTGCTAATGTACGTGCAGAATATAATCTGTACGCCGCATGCTTGGTTAGGCAACATCAAATTTTACCAAAGAGCAGAACGGGCAGAAGCCAGTGCAGTGCAAACTTACAGGGAAATGGGCCAGACCCTTTTGGTGGTTGCAACACTTATCACAACTGTAACATTTACAGCTGCATTCACAATGCCCGGAGGCTATAACAATGATGTCGGTCCACACCAAGGAGTGGCTCTTCTGCAGTCAAATGAAAATTTCAAGTGGTTCATAATCTCAGACACCATTGCAATGACTTGCTCAATAAATGCAGCTTGCCTTTTATTTGGGGGAGCTGTTAACGGCAATGAGTCGGTGTATATTTACTATTTAACAGGTGCTGCTGCTCTTACATATATTGCTCTGCAATCTACTGCAATAGCATTCACAACTGGGATTCTGGCTGTCCTGCCCCATCAGCAATTTGCCAAAACCTTGGGACTGATAGTTGGAATCACTTTTAATGTTAGTACCTTCTTGCTTCTTTCACAATTGGTGCAAATATTTTCCAACCTCGGAGCCTGTAGATTATTGTTTTCGCATCTCTACAGGAAGCTCAAGAGCAAAATAGGGAATAAACATTGAAAAAAACTACAGTACTTAGTACTTGCATTCATTTGGGTGCCCATTGTCAACGTATGTCTTTTTCGTATTGATAAATAAGCGTTTAGTGTTGTATCAATTGTCGCGTGATCTCTTAACATGGTCAATTCGGTCTACCATAATAGAATCTGATCGTATCTAAATCCAAAACTTCGTCTTTCAACGAATGTTGATAGCAGCAGTGTAGCAAAAAATACATACGACTGGTTCCCTCATACCGAAAACAAAATGTTTTCACTGCTGTATTATGTTTGCCAAAAAGGACTCCTACCAAATTACCGACCGAAATTCCAAAACCATGTCATGAAAGACATGAAAGCCCTTACTCTATGAACCAAGCAAGGATAATCATAGAAGTAATGCCAAGGATTAATATATGTAGCAGCAAGACAAACCAAAAGTAAGAGAACTCTGACCTGGTGCTGGTAGTGATTTTACATCCCTAAAGTGGAACATATCAACCATGTCAAGAATTTTGGGTCAATAATTTAGGGACAAAGCTACCGAACTTGTAAGTTGCTCCAATTCATCACTCCTGCCTTTGATTTCATTGATTTCCTCAAGCGATTGGTAGTTTAGTTTTGAGATAGTACATCACAAAACTTGGATTTAAATTCATATCCATTGGTTTAGAGATTGGGTTGGGTACAAATGTACTTTTTGGATCGATAATGTAAGGTTTGGAGTTGAGATATAGTGAAAACATTCGATTTTGATGGGTTCGGCAGATGTCCCCCGAATGCCCATTGTTACAGTAGGTTTGCCGAACGTTGATGCTGGGGTGAGAAAAGATATTTATTGATCTAGTTTTTGTGATCCATTTTTTACAATATTTACTTTCCGGTTTTAGTTTGGGTGATTAATTTCCTCTGATAAATCGGAATGTCATCTCCTAGTTGATTTCCTCTTACTGTTTCCTTTCTTCTTTTTATGAATACTTCGATATATTCTTCTTTTTATGAATACATCAATATATTTTTACATAAGGGGGTGGGAGAATTGGGTTAAGTCACAAAATGGACAAAAATTTGGTATTAAATTTGCATTCACGAGATTCAAATCTAAAACCTCACTTCCAAGCGAAGAGGAATACCATCTAAATGTGTAGCTTTCTTCTTAAAAATATGTAGGCTAGTTTTCCCACAAGACACATAAACCAAACCCTCTTCCATCTATCTGTACCGGATAGGGTTTAGGAGATCAGCTTCCAAGAGGCCAAGCCCGACCTAATTTCATTGACAATTGACAATCTTCCTGACCCTTTACACGGTGACCCTGACCGGTTACTCGTTGAAATCCTCTGTCAAGTTCCTTGCAGAAAATTGATTGTTCAATGCAAGTGTGTTTCCAAGTGTTAAATTCTACTTGGCCATCTGCTCAATCGTTCAGGTGTGGGGGGTTTTAATACAAAAGGCATCGGTGTAAGTTAGAGTGGGGTAATTCTATTTAAATGGCTTGTTCTCAAACCTTCTGGCCGATGTGGGACAGAAGAATTCTAATACTCCCTCGCACGTGAGACCCAATTTTATGGGTCACACGTGAAGTTCCACACATCGACAACCATATGGAGCCAAGTCGAGGCTCACCCGTGGCCACCTACTCAATCCATCAGGTGTGGCGGGGTTTTAATACGAAAGGCATCGATGTAAGTTAGAGTGGGGTAATTCTATTTAAAGTGTTTGTGCTCAAGTCTTCTGGCCGATGTGAGACATAAGAATTCGTGAGACATAAGAATTCTAACACTCCCTCGCACGTGAGACCCAAGGCCAATGGGGACCCACTCATTCATGTGGCATCTCTTAGCCTACGTGGAGGCAAGTCGAGGCTCACCCGTTCGCGCGGGGTCAAAGGGGACCCACCTGTTCAAGTGGCAATACGGGCCCATCCCTTGGCTCTGATACCATGTTAAATTTTAGGTCGACTGATCGAGGGCCCACTCCAACAACACCGATACTGTCTCCACTTGACAACCTACTTAATCCGTCAGGTGTGGGGTTTTAATACAAAAGACATCGGTGTAAGTTAGAGTGGGGCAATTCTATTTAAATGGCTTGTTCTCAAGCTTTTTGGCCGATGTGGGACGGAGGAATTTTAACACCAAGCGTCCGCTCCGAGTCATCTCCGAACCTCGTTTCATTGGCCGCTTTTTATCCGTCCAACATGGTCGCCAAAATCCCATACCAAGAACTCTGGTTATATATGTACCCTTATTATGGAGACGAAGTGTTTATGACGTCCAAGAATCCGGTGTTCACAGAGCTAAGTGAGAAGAAAGAGAACAAAAACAAGAACAAGAACAAGAAGAAACATCGATCCGAGCAATTTGTCTCTAAGGTACATCCCCTTTATTCGATTCATGGTAGAAAAACTGTTGGTGGTAGGTGTGGTAACAAAATTCTGTCGTCTTTAGATTTGATGAAATTGTACCTGAAAAACAAAGAGACACTGTAGGTTAACGACCAAAGCCACTCGTCCAGAGGTTGTACCATCCCAGAATACAAGGGAATATTAAAGTTTTGAGGTATGTTTGAGTTCGGAAGTAGTGAGTGTCTAACGCCGTGACTCTCTCTAAGGCTTCATTTGGTATTTTTTTAAATAAAAAAATGCTTCACTTTAAAATTAAGTAATAAAAAGTGTTTGGTAAAACTAAAATATCTTGCTTATTTTAAAAACAGTGGTCTCTAGACATCAAGTTGATTTTAAAAGCTGCTTTATAAAAAGTGGAGTTGAGCCATTAATCCATTAATGAATTATTTTAATCATGTAATACCTTCATTAGTTTTTTAAGATGACATTATTTATTCTTTAACACGCATTTTATCCATTTGAGAGCAGAGTGACCGCAATTACTAACCACTACCTACCACTACAACCACTAACCTTACACCACCATCATTGGCATCATCGCTGCCACCGTAGTCGTCACCACCGCAGCTACCATAGCAACCACCACCGCCACAACCACAACTGTGACCACTGCCACCATAACAATCTCCACTACCATCATTGCTGCCAATCGCCGCCACCACAACCACAAGCGCTACCACTACAACCATAACCACAAATGTTGATGTCGCCACCCCAACCACCACTATTGGCACCCACCAAACTCCTACCATTGCTACTGCTATCACAATAGTCGCCCCCACCACCTCCATCACGTTTGCCATATGTACCATCTACAACTGCAACCACCAACCTTATACCACTGAAGACATCACCACTATCAACGTTTCAACCGCCACCGCCAACAACGCCTCTACCACTACCGCCACAAATGCAACCACTGACGCAGCCACAACTATCGTAGTCACCCCCCCCCACTACTATGTCTATTTTTGTCATTTTATGTACAATAATATTACTAATCTTAGAATTTACCAAACGGTTTTACACTTGTTTTCATACAACACTTTTAAAATATAATTTATCAAAGGTTTTGTTTTAATTTACAATTGATTATTTTTAAATTAGCACAATAATCGCAAACAGCCCTTAAGACGACATTGATGTGGGCATGAGCACATACGCATATTATCATAATCCTCTTGCCACTGGTGTTATCCAAGAGCCGTCAATTGAATGGGTATGGATCTTCCCAAGTTCTATCGAGTCTCCAAAAGATCAGGCTTGGTAAATTTGGTCAGTGCTTCATCCATCATTTCCTGCTCTCTTTAAGTTTACTTCCGGTATTTAGCCTTTCATTCCTATCGATCCATCCGTTTTCTGCTTCTATACTTTCGGGGTAACAATCTACTTCACATGAATCAATGATTCAAACCACTTGAATTCCGTTTTCGTGTTTTTCTTATTTCTCCCAAGAATAGCACTCTTTTGGTTGCATCTTGCATGCATGTATAACAGCTTCACGACAAGACCTATCTTTATTGCACGATCATGAAATAGTAATTTATAAATTCTTATACCAAGAGCTAAGAACTGACTTTAATTATCGAAGATGAAATTAATAGATCTAGTTGAATACATCAGTTCAATTTGAAACAAAAATTCATTTGACAAATAAAATGTGTACGATCCAAGTATTAAAACGTGCATTAATTTTGCTTTCTAGTTCACAGTTACACACTACGTACATGCTATTTATTTTTTTTGTCAATAAACGGATCCTCGTAAAAGATACTGGCATGACATTGTAGAGTATCAATAAATGGCAGCTCAGCATTGGTTAGTTAGTGAGGCTGTCATGTCATACTAAAGTTGTTAGGTTGTTAAAAAAGGTTAGTCTCCTAGAAGTGTAAGAATGAAGTTTTAAGCTAGATATATGTGTATAAAAGCTCTGTAATTGTGAGGATCCAATTCATTAAGTCTGAAATACAATTCATACAGCCTACTCTTTCTATCTTTCTCTCCGTTGTTTCTCTCTCAAGTTCTTTATTTTTCTCCATTCCTCATTGCTCTTTGATTCTTTCTCAATGTAGTTAATAGACATTTGCTAGGATCTTATGACGAAGCACAAGGAGAAACAAACTAGAAAACCAGCCCAGAGATCTGAGACACAAAGTTGAGAGACTGCTGGAGGGGCTTTTTATCAGCACTTGGACTTGGACTTGGACTTGCTAGTGAAATGGTACTGGTAGTTGAAGAGGGAGCGATGTCAAAAGTCATCTTTTGCCCTTTGCTGCAGTGCCCGGCAAAAGTTGACGTTACATAATATGTGTCGGTTCCAAGAAATTTTATTGTGGTTGCCTTCTCAAATACATGCAAGGGATCTGCGGTGTTACAAGTGCCCAAATCTTCCTTGGTTACGAATGCCAAGTCTTGTTCTCCTGCTGCAAACTTAAACACTGCAAAGCCAACACAACCATGTAGAAATCAGCACCTACCATAGAGTATAGATCAAAATCAAGCCATTGGATTGTCTTTGCATTCAATGCGAATTCATCCTATAAATACAAATGCTAATGAAAGTTACAGGATGAAAATTAGGATGCAGAAGAGAAAAGAGGGGAGTGGCTTTTCTACAATTTTTTCTTTTATGCTGAGAGAAACGATATTCTTATCTAAAGTATGAGAAGGAGATTTCAAATTTGAGTGCATAAGGAAGAGCTCACTGCTCGAGGCAATATAGCTACATGCATGTCTACACATAGTGACATCTCTACACTACTGTCGAGAATATTTTCTTATGCATATGATCCATGAAATTCCAATACAAATTTTCGAACTACAATGAAAAGACAGAACGTAAAGTAAGAAAAATTTCACAGTAGTTGATTACCAAGAATGTCACCAACAACCAAGCTATGGTTAGAAGCCCATGCAGCATAAGTGGCAGCGCCATCCGGAGGGATAGTCCAGCCTAAGTCGTCTCCTACTACATATTCTGCAGCTTCTGCGCTGCATAACGTCGCTTCTGTTGCTGCCACTGCGATGACGATTAGAAACATCACATTCACATCCATGCTTATACTCATTTTTCAACTCCCCTCTCTTAAATAATTGTGTTCTTCTTGTAAAGAAGGAGATTGATACAATATTGGGGGTCCTGAAATGTCTCAATTTATAGAACTAAATGTTACGAGCATTGTGTACAAGATCCGGCAATTGAAGGCTTAATTTGTCTATATTAGTACTGGCGCAGATTATCATAGATACGTTGACATCGTCAAAACTAATTGATTATTGGCACTTAGCATTTTGCAGGCGCAGATTATCATAGATACGTTGACTTCGTCAACAAATATTTTTTTGGACAGTTGGATTTTCAATGGTCAAAAAAAAAATTTAAACCTCCCCCAACGGCTAGATGATGTGGCACAATATCAACCATTGGATTCCAGATCAACAGTCCACGTTATTCGCCTTTAAAAATTTTTAAGAAGAAAAAAAATCAGATATGTTACCGTTGTGCCACGTGACACAATCTAGAGGGTTGGATTCAATTTTTTTTTTAATCCAACGGAAAAAATTAATTAAGTTAATAAAAAATTTTAAAAATTTAAAAAAAATGATTTTACTTTTCTATAAATACCTTCTCATTATCTTCTACCTTACACCACAATTTCATATTTTCTCAAATACTTTCAACCACATTCCAATCTTTCTCTCAAAGTTTCTATGTACTTTTGTTTCCAACAAAATGGCTAATGATGCAGGTACGAATTGGAAGCTTATTGAAGATGTTACGTTGTGTTCTAGCTGGGTTGAAGTTACTCATGATCCGATTACGGGTAATGAGATGCAGTTGTGAGAAATGTGGAGCAATATTCATACCTTTTTTCTTGAGAAAATTGGTGGCAAAAGAATGGAACAATCGTTCTCTAGTCGTTGGAGAATACTCAGCCAATCGTTTACTTATTGGAGAAATGCCTTGGCACAAGCTAGCAGTAATATTCAAAGTGGGGAAAATTTCGCGGATCATGTAAAAACATATTATTTATTTGTTTGTATTTTACCCAAATTTACATTAGCTACTTTGATTATAATTATTTCTTCTCCCGCATTGTGTAGAAACTTCAAGCACAAGCTTGGTATAATACCAAAAACAAAAACAAATCATTCACCCGGTGGGAATGTTGGAATATTGTCAAAGATTGCCCTAAATTCAGAGTTTTGCATGTCCGTTCAGAAGTTGTCATGAACAGCACCCATCTACACTATATGCCCGATCATGACTCGTATGTTCATGAAAGCGACACAGAACAAGTGCCGGAAGCAACCCTTGAACAAGGGTCGGGGTCAACCCGTTATCCAATTAGCTTCAAGGTAAGAAGGCTTCAAAGAGAAAAGGGAGTGCTTCCAAGAATGATTATGCAAAATATATGGAAGAACTTGCTCACCAAGGTGAATTGACTTTGGCGCAAAAATGGCTAAATTTAAGGCTGATAAGGCTAGAGATGAGGCAAAAGCTGCAGCTGCTGAGAGATTATTTCAAGCTCATGAGAGAGAAATAGAGCTACTTAGGCAAGAAATGGAAGAGTTTAAAGAAGAAAGAATGGCTCAACAAGATCGTGACATTATGAAGAAGCTTGTAAAGGCGATGTCTCCGAATTCTAAATATTTTTGGAATTCGGAGAAAACGGACCTGGTGCGAAAGAGGCGTGCAAGAAAAACGAGAGCAAGAGGAGTCCTAGCACCACAAATTGGTTAGGTGATGATTTTCCATTCACGAGGGACTAGGGAATTTGTTTCTAATCGGAGCCCATAATTTTCCAATCACTTTGGGTTGTAATTTCTTATTTATTGAATAGAGTACTTTACGTAATTTCCAATTTATTGAATTTAGTACTTTATTTAAACTAAGAGTATATTTATTTAATTTGGTACTTTATTTAAACTAAGAGAATTTTTATTATAATGACATAAACACACCAAATACAAAAAAAAACCCCACTAAATGAACTTAAAAAACACACCAAATAAAATTACATAAAGATACCAAATAAAAAAAATGCATTAAATGAACTTAAGTTTCTTAAGCTTGTTTCAATTCCCACTGGTGCTCTATCAAGTCAATTTGTCGAGCTTTGTGAATGTATGAGGATTGAACTGAAGTATATCGTTGAATGAGCCTTTCATTGTAACGTCTATCCCTTTCTAATGGCTCGTGTTGCACAGGTTCTAAAGTGGCATCATGAGCACAATATATTTGTGTTCTGGAATTGTTCATCGTGTCTGGCTCATATTCATCAACAGCATCATAATCATACTCATCTTCCACAATCATGTTGTGAAGAATGATACACATCATCATGATGGATAGAAGCAACTCCAAATCAAACAATCTAGCAGCACCCCTCATAATCGCCCAATGAGCTTAGAGGATACCAGCGTTCCACATCCTTTCTACACCCCTCTTGATAGCTTGTGAAGTGCTTTTCCTTTTCACTTCACAGACGTGGCACTGTTTTGACAAACGATGTCCACCTTGGGTAAATGTCGTCTGCTAGGTAGTATGGTCCGTGGTACTTATGTCTGTTGACCCAATACGTGACTCTTGGTGCTTTTTCTTGCAAGACATCGTTGAACACTAGGGATTGGGCAAGGACATTGAGGTCATTTTAAGCTCCCGAAACACCGAAAAAAGCATGTCAAATCCATGTATCAAATGATACCACTGCCTCCAAAATGATACTTTTTGCTCATTTTCTGTCCCTATAAGCTCCTTGTCATGCACTTGGACAGTTTTTCCAGGTCCAGTGCATACAGTCGATGCTTCCAATCATACCAGGAAAACCTTGCATCTCTTCAAAAACCTTTGTAAGTCCATTGTTGTAGGTCTCCAGAGGTACTCTGTGGTGTAGATAGATTCGACCGCGGAGCAAAACCTCATCAGGGACTCAAGAATGGTTGATTTCCCCATTCTCACTATCTCATCCACTTGATCTGCAGATACTCCATATGTAAGCATCCGCAAGGCAGCAGTAATGTTTTGCTCATGAAGGAGACCCATAATACCAAAAAACATCATTCTTTTACACAAAGTAAGAACAATGGTTGCAAACAGCAATCATGATTTTGTTGAACAAATGTCGCTCCATTCTAAAACGACATCTAAAGTACGTATCAGGGAATGCACTGTTACAGACAAAATAATCGTCCAAGAGATCCTTACCTCGTCGTTACCTACTTCTATCAATGTTTGCGAAACGGTTAGGCCTGGAGATCTCAGCCACATCTTGGATGACTCGGCAGGAATGTGAGGCTCTTTCGTCATCTCTCCTTTTACGATCTTCATCCTCTTCCTCTTCCATGTCATTTTCGCCCCCTTGAAGATTAAACATTTCTTCCCCTTGCTTAAACAATTCTTTCTCTTGCTCATCAATTTCCCACAACATCCTTAAAGAAGACAATGTAAGAAGAAAACAAAAACTATGAATAAGGATAGAGATTTTGATTTTGGTGTGTGATTTCTTATGATGGATGGTGGGAAATATGGAGTAAAAAAAAGGATTAGGTTGTAGATAATGTCACGTGGCATGCCGTCATTCATTAAAAATCTGATCGAAATCTATCCTCAAAAATTGTAAACAGATTGTGACACGTGGCGCGACGGCATTGGATAAAAATCCTATCGAAATCTATCACCAAAAATTGTGTTTTCGGATAATGACATGTGGAGCAACGAGAACGATTAAAAAAATTCTTATCCGAAATTACAAATAAAATTATTTTGTATTATTTTATAAAAAAAAAAATACTAATATTTTATTGCCTATTGCCATAGCTATTCAGTTAGGGGTGGAGATGCAAAAGGCAATTACTGTTTATTAAAGGCAGTTACTATTCATTGGAGGGGATTCAATAGGCAATTGCCCTAGGGGGCCTTCCTACACTAGAACTGCTATAAATCATACTAAGTGGCTTTAATTGCAGTTCTAAGCCAAACATAGAGAAGGATTTTTATCATTTTTTTGGGTAATTCTCACTTTACTACCCCAACATTGAGAAATTTAAACTTTCGTACTTAAAGTTGAATTTTGTGACAATTTTTTGAAGAAGAAACAAATTTTATTGAAAAGAAACAATAAAAATACAAAAGCGGACAAGAAGTCCGCAAAGGCACAAACAAAACAAGATAAAAAGCACCATCACCCAAACATTAAGAAACTTTAAAAACAACACATAAACTAACTAATAGCCACACTCCAGTTACGCCAAATATCTGAAGGAAAAAAAAGAAGACAAATCTCTAAATTTTGTAGTAACTGAAGCCCACATAGATGACCATAACCAAACATTATCCCACATATCCTCCCCTTTACTGTCTTCGTTGTCCTAAAAAATCTTCTTATTTATTTCCATCCAAATGACCCAAAAAATAGCTGAAACTATACATCCCCATAAGACCTTGATTTTCTTCCCTTTTCCTGATAATTTATGTTCCTCTACCATAAGAGAATAACAATGCCTGGGTAAAACCCAACTGATACCGAACTCCTTAAACAACTTCAACCAGAGATTTAAAGCCACCGGACAATGAAGAAATAGATGGTCAACAGACTCTAAACTTTTCTTGCATAAAATGCACCAATCAAGTTGTAGACATGAGCTAGGTTGCCATTTTTGGAGCATGTCACAAGTGTTAATTTTCCCATGAGCCACTAACCAGGTAAAGACTTTCACTTTATTAGGAACTTTAGATTTCCAAACCAGGCCATAAGCTTGAAATACCTTATCAACATAGCTTTTAAGAAGATAATTGCAACAAGATTAAACAGAGAAGCTTCTTGAAGAATCAAGTATTCAATTTCTTGCATCAACCCTTGAAGGGTGTATGCGAACCTGATCTAAACCTGTCAAGAAAGATGACAATTCGTCTAATTCCACATCATGTAAATTCCTTCAAAACCCAAAGTCCCAATTCAAAGAATGTTCAACAATACTAGCAACATTAGAAATACTCTTGTTATGAAATTTGGATAACTTGAACAACCTAGGAAATGAGACTTGTAAAGATCTTTCGCCCAGCCAAATGTTTTCCCAAAATCTAATTTGATCTCCTTTA